CCAGCACCTGTATTTATATTTCTCATCCAAACACAATTAAGTTCACTCTATCCAGGAGACACTATTTATCACGATAGTTTTTTAAGTAATAACTCAGAATAAAATAGGAATAATGACTTTCTACTTATATTTAAAAAAAATGTAGTGAGTAGAAAGTACAGATAATTGTGTAAAAATGTAATGAGTAAAAGTAAAAAGTACGCTGAAAAATAATTACTCAAGTTAAAGTACAGTAACGGCGTATTTGTACTTAGTTGCTTTACAACTCTGGAGTCCAAAGTCACCCCAAGATTCCCAAGTCTTATCAGTCTTAGCCACTTCAGAATTGTTACCAGAAGATCTTTAATGGTTCAGGAATGCTCTTTAACACTGATGTAATTCAGTTGTTTATGCTCCATCAGGCTTTACCCTTCCCCTCTTCTTTACCCCAGCAGTGATGAACACCACCATCTGATGCTGTCTGCTGACCACACAATGCAGCACAAACCAGCTGAAAACAGATCCAGACCAGAATTCACTGGCAGGTCAACATTTACAACATGTTTCTGCACAGATGCAGCATCACAAATGAGAGGATTTTGGCAACAGTCACAGGTCTGAAGCCATGATTCAGGACTCTGACCTGATGTCACTTATATTGGCTGAACAGAACTTTTGAGAGAAGGGGTTTAGCAGTTAATACTAAAGCTTTGGGCAAAGTTGTACAGCAGAGAATGAGTTGGGTTTGACTGCTGTGAACGACTGATACAAGGTGGTGTGTATATGCAGAGGAAAAGGTGAGGGAACAGAAACCTCACACTGAATCTGTAATGTGATGTCTCTGTGCCAAAGAATGCTCTCATCATCACACTCATCTTTTTCAACACTGTTCAACATTCATGTTTCATAGATCACTGGATTCAACGTGTTTCCTTTAGACTAACATATAACCTTTGTTAATATCAGATGATTTAATGGTGGTAAGATCACCCACTAGAGAAAATCCGATCCGATCTTACTGTCACTATGCAGTGTGATGGGCTGAGTGTATTACTTTTTAATGAAAAAGCATCAATGTCCAGCTATCCTAATATTTTCATTTATGTGGTTCCACTTCACTTCAAGTTCAGGTCCTCTACCAGAGGTCTGGGGGTTTCAGGGTTCTCTTCAGGATCTCATCTGTTCCTAGGACTGAGCTCTGCCGGACAGATACATCTGAGGCTGTTCCTGGGCTCTGTTGGAGCCACTCTTGTAGTTTGGAGGGGGTGTGGGTCACAACAGCAAGTGCTCTGATGACCACTGGGACTACTGATAGCACACTCAAAACCACAAAAGAGCTCGAGATCTGAGGAGGATAAAACAAAGTAAAAACAAGGCCAAGACTAAGGAAAGTGTCTGTAGATGATTGTCTCGTGCACCAGATCTACAGGGCTTTAAGTCTTTGTTCTTGTCAAACTAAATAATTCAGTTTTGGACTGTGAGGTCGATGCAGGAGAAAAAAATCACATTCAAGCATGAGAATCTAGGAACTGGAGCGAATCCAGTTCTTTGAATGAGTCCAACAGGAACTCATCTTTACTTTGACAGATACGTCACTTCAATCAAATGTAGCATAAAGGGACCCCTGACCTGAAACAATCTCTCAGAACAGTGCATGACTGTTTCCATTAACGTTCATTCTGAAGTACTGCAGTAATGTAGAATATCAGTTTGGAAAGAGTTTATTTGAGAGGGTTGCCTGAGTCAGAAACTGTTGTGTTTCATACTGAAGGATTGTGTCCTGTCTGTGTCCAGCCATGCCTTGGTATCCCACTGTTGCTGTGCTTAAACAGCTCAAGCTTACAAACCCACCCTGACTCCAAACATCATGTCAGTTATTAAAAAAAAGATATTACAAGCATCACAGTCTGCTTTGCCTCTCAGAGGCTGTGAACCATGATGTGTACCACTTATTGCTAAAATAAAGTGGTTGATAACCCTCCCACTGGACTGGGACACACTAGCTTCAGGGTTGGTTGTCCTCTCCTCTCTGTGTCTGGCTTTTCTTGGACACCTCATTGCAATCACATCTATGTTTTCTCCTTCAGTTGAGGAGGTCACATTTGGTGAATATTTAACAAGTGCTTCTTTGCAAAGGGATTTCTGGTGCCAAGGATGAGTCTGTGGAAGAGACGGTAAGTATTGATTGGTGGGTGTTTCAGACTCAGTTTATGTTTTCTCTTTTGTTGTTTGGAAGGAGAGGACCTGAGGATTCCAGGGAGGCTGTCAGACCAAGGAGACTGAGTGAGTTGTGGAGTCTTTGAAGAGTGGCAGGTACAGAGAGGTTGGAGGATAAGATGTTTGCTGATGGTTATGGAGTTTAAACATAAATTCAACTCTGGAAGACTAATAACCCCACCTGCTCCTGCCCACCTCCTTGTCTCAAGCTCAGCTGTGTCCAATTGTCACAAACCCAGCTACGTCCAATCTG